AATATATAATTATATAAGATATATGTATCATTCATTCTAAAAAAAAAAAAAAATTTCATTCCTCACATGCTTGATTCCTTCCTCAAAGCTAAAACCAAACATATACAAAAAAGACAAGCGGATCAAAATCAATGAACACAGGGATCCAATATCAAGAGTCCGGCCCAGGACAGAAATAGTCCACTCAAAAGTCTACGCCAGGCGAAAACAAGCCACCTCCAGCGGGTGCGCGAGAGACAGGTGGATTCAGCATCACAGACTACACCGCTTTCCCTTCTTCTTCATCTCACTTTTGCCTTTGCCTGCCTGGTAATTTCTCCACTTCTCCAACTTTATCATCTCCAGTTTCTTCGCTTCTTAGGGTTTCCGATGGTATTAGAAATCAGCCGAAACAAAAGCTATCCGTAGTGATTTCCATGCGTACTAGGTGTTCGATAAAATTTCCCAGCTTTTCATTTCATATTCTATGTTTTTGGGTCTTTCTTTTTAAACTCTTGCCTCAAGCTAAACTATCTTTCTATGGCTTCAGCTGCTTATTTGTTTCCCCTTTCCTTGGTCCCTGCCATTTTCTTTTTAGGGTTTTACTGTTGGCCTGTTGGGTCAATATATATGTGTGTTAATTAAATGAAAATTAATGCGGGATTTTTATCTTGTGGGAGGTTGCTATTTGTGTGTACAGTGGACAAGTCCTTTTGTTAGAGACATATTTAGTTGATTAATATATTGAACTGTGCATGAACATATAGATATTGTTGAAGATTTTGGCTGCTATAATTTACAGAAAGGAGGGAGTGCTTAATAAACAACATAACTGGTTCTTTTCATCTGGGAAATGCTTCTCAATTTTCTTGCCGATGATGACACTGACATTCTCTGATTTTTTACACCTCTTTCTGTATTTATGTCATGTTAATATGCAATCCATGGGTTCACATGAGTTTTTATTTTGGGTAATTTCTTTTTCTTTTTTTTTTTTTCAGAAGTTCACTGTAGATGTCTTTGTATATTGGGCCTTTGTCACCTCGCATTCGGAAAGATGAACTTGAGCATGTTTTTCGAAGGTTTGGAAGATGTAATGTACGAATGAAAGATGGTTTTGGATTTATTATCTTTGACTTCGCTCCAGATGCTGGGAAAGCTTTGAGAGCTCTGCAAGGAAGGAACATATGTGGGCAGCCATTAACTCTTTCATGGTCAAATAAACAGCCGAGAAGTTTCAAAAGATTTGCAAGCTTTGATCGATCCAATGGCTATGGGCCACCACGAGGCCGAGATTCCATGAGAGGAGGAGGTTATGGTAACAGAAAGAAGGGCTTAAATGGTCAGAGAGATTACAAGATGGGTATTAGAATGGAAGAAAGTGAAGAAAGAAGACTTCATTCTGCTGGCTTGCTTAACGAAGAGACAGACTACCATCAAGTTGATGGTAAAGAATGCATCAAGGAAGAGCATCCTGATTACCAGGAAGATTTGCTGAATGGAGGTGATCATGTTGAAGCCAACACAGTCTACAATGATAGGTGGGATGGGAGACTTAATGACCTATCAAATGGCAATGGTGTCGGACATGATTTGGAATTTGACCGCTATGATCCATACAAGGCTTATGAAGGAAAAGATAAAAATGAAAACCATTATCATGCTGATTCAGGTGGCTCTTCAGCTCTACATGGGTCTCAAGAGAAAATTGGGAGACCACTGAGTGGTGAAGAAACTTTGAAGCCCCCTGATAGTAAAAAATCCTGGCAAACTTGCTATAGATGTGGTGGCTTGGGTCACAAAAAGCGAGATTGTCCCTATAAAACCAGGCCAGGAAGAAAGTTAAACAGGTTCCGGAGCAGGGATGATGATGACATTGATAGAAGAGGTAGAGAAGATGACCTGGAAAGATTTGGATGCAGTCCTCGGGGAAAGCTGCATTCAAATAGGGACACTCGATCAATGGGGCAACTCGAGAATGATAGAAAAACATCTGGTTCAGGAGAGCATGGGAGGTTGATAGGGAGTGGAAGTTCCCTTGTTGGAGAAAAGGCTGACAGGGCTTGGAGGGAGGATGATGGAGAAAAGAAGCGGGATAGGAGTGCAACCCCAATAAGACACACTGCAAAAAGAGCAAGAAGGTTTGGTTCATCTCCATCTGATTGTATTGCATCTAGATCAAACTCAAAATCTAAATCCCTGAAGCACGAGCCACACTCTGGTTCACACTTTAGATTGAGATCAGTATTATCCAGATCTCGGTCATCATCATCTCTTTCCAAATCCCATCTGCCATCACACTGCTCTCAATCCAGAAGTTATAAGTCCAGCTCAAAGTCTTGTTCATCTGTTTCTTTATCAGTATCCCCTGATAAGCATTTACCATCACACCCAAAGAAGATGCAGTTGAATCTGGAAGGCAATCTGGAGAATTCTATCCATGCGGAATCCAAGGAGATTATGGTTGAAAAGGGACAACCAGTAGAAGATAATGAGAAATTAGAGAATGATGAACTTCAAAATGGGTTTGGGACAGTAAATAATGGAAATGTTGCCTCTCTTGCCAGAGTAGAAGGTGAAGTCAAGAGGAATGAGCCTAAACAGAAGGATAATATTGAGAATAATTTGACAACCAGGTCCATGCATGAACCTCCAAATCTGAGCATACCATTGTCAGAGAAAGGTGTGCGTACTACTGAGAGTATATCTCCACAGTGCTTGAGGGAGACAAAGGGCTGTGAAGATTTTGATGCATTCATGAGGAAAGATATGGCAGTACCAACTAATAAACTAGATACAGAGCTTCCTGCCAGTTTCCGCTCCCTCGATTCAACCAGTATGTCCTCAGAGGAGATGTGCATGGTTCTGGATCATTATGGCCTAGAACTTCCGGATGAAAATGAGAAGCACTTATCTGTGCAGACTTACTTTGGCTCTGCTCGCTTGTGGCCGTGGGAGATTGTCTATTATAGGAGGTTGAAGAAGGGTCCTATTTCAACTAAGAATTATGCCAGGCGTGTTGCTCAGAACAAGGAATTTGGTATTGTTGACAAATATATAAGAAGCAGTAGTGGGTGGGCAGAACTCAATCATCCTGAAGAATATTTGTAAATGATGTGCCAACTTACTTTTTGTTGCAAAGAAACTGAAACTCTGGAAATATCTTGCTTTTTGTCATTCACAAGATTCAGATTTTTCATGAAAAAAGATATGGACAGGTAATCTTGCGGAAAATGTTCCAAATTTTTACTCTTTCTATACTAAACTGTGTTACAACATGCAGAATCTGCAGATAAATGTTTGAGGTTGATCTGTAAGGTTATGGGATGATGAAACAATAGGGTGTTTGAGGTTAATTTTTAAGGTTATATGTGATGAATAAGTAAATAAGAATTGAGGAGATTTGGTTTAGGGTCAAATTGAAATAAGAAAGCTAATATTTTGCTGAGGTTTTTAAATTTTAAGTGTTGTCTGGGCATTTTTCAACAGTAATGTAAAGGCACTACTCTAGATTTATTGTTGAATTTTAATTGTCATTTGATGTTGGGTTGCCCAATCCCACCAGAAAAAGATTACAACTTAAAATAACCAAACCCCTTTGACCCAAAAATTCAAATATAAGTGAAGTGAATGCTAAAATTCTTAACCTGAGAGCATGTAAAAAAAAGGTTGAATATCAACTGCTGAGACCTATTTGTAATCTTATCATCATGTTTGTGTCAGATCAAGGCTTAGCATTATTTGTAAAGAACTCAGTAGTCACTGTCTGTCAGCATGCTTTGTGAGTAATAGTTGCACGCAAAACGTGGTAAGGTTATTTTTTTTTTTTTTGTGGTAAAAAACGTGGTAAGGTATTGCTAGTAAGATAAAGCTGGATTCAGAATATCAGATTATGGCAAGAATATAAACTCCTTGTTTTCCGTAAAGAGGGAGGGATTATGTCTCAAGACTAGGATTTCTGCCCAAAATTAACCCCTGTAGGCCTTTCTACCTGAGGTAAGCCAGAGATGAAATATTGATTGGATTAGAATGGTCCTGGTTTCTTTGCATGTTTTCACACACTTGATGATGGGTTGAGAAGAAATTACGTTGTGGATTAGCACTAACTGACATTAGCTATATTGTTTTGTTGAACTGGGATGTAAATACAGCAAATACAGGCATACTGCTTGCTTGACTCTTTCTTGAGCATGCATCTTTAATTTTTGGGATGTTGGCAAGGAATGTTGGCTTCTCATATCCAGAAATTGTGATAGTTGAAGATAATATAATGTTCAATACATGTAGTCAAGGAGGACAATTTTTCTCCCAGAAATTCTGGTCTTTATTTAAGCTCTTAAGTTCTCATGTTTGTCAATATATACATCATGCTTATTATCCTGATGGAGTTAAGTAATGTGCTGCATTGCTGATAAAAAAAAAAGTAATGTGCTGCATTTTCTTATCATGGTAAAGGAGAAGCATACGGCATTATTTGTTTTGGACCTGAATCCTTAGCCAGTAAATAAAGTTCATTGTGTTTTTCCTTGATTTTTCCTCCTTTAAGATGGAGAGGTAAAAATTGATGGTCAGGAAGGGAGAGAGCATTTGGCAGAGTATGCTAGAAGATGCTCTCATCACTAGCCTACCAGCCACTGCATATGGGGAAGCTTTATACAGGTCCTTATGAACCTTAAAAACAATTAATGGTGGCATTAGCATAAGCAGTGCTTGAGTCAGAGTTGATAGAGTTTGATATATAAGATATATCCAAATTCTACAAACAGGTGGTGAATGTGACTCTTTCTCCCCTCCTCTAAGCTAAGCTGCACTGCTGCAGTGATTGGTACCCTTAATGAATAGTTTTCTCTAAATCATTTTTTTCCTTGCGTGAATCAGTTAGAGGATCTTTTGCATGTTTTGGCAATTTGGATGATTTCTTCTATTAATTTGAATCATTTGCATCAACTGTATCACTGCAGAAAACTTGTGATGCAATGATCAGCGGTGCATTGATTCTGGAGACAACCTTTATTTTTTTTTGCCCTGGGCATGGAAATGAGTCAGGATTGGTGCTTTCATGATAAAATGGCATTTCCCTTAAGCAGGACATATAATTTTAGATCTTTGTTGTTCATCAATCATTTTAATGATCCTTCCTATATGCAGGCTGGCTGTTTGCCATGGTAGAAAGAAAAGCAGTAGCCCTTTGGCCATCATCTTCCATCTACCCTGTTTTCTCTTTTCTAACTGTCACCGGCAGCGAACTTTATGTCCCACCTCCACCCCGGTGACTTAGTCTCACAGGTTGGCTGGCAAGCCTTCCATTCATGGGATTGTAGGAGGTATCATCTTCCTCTTCTCTTTCACAAGGAGAATTCATTTCGTGGCCCTCAGTTGTTAAGTATTAAGTTGTAGAAGTTGTACTTTGGACTAACTGTTTGTATGGACTTAAAATTCAGCCTTTCATTCATATCTTTTAAAAATAGTTGTTGATTAATTGATTTTACTGTTAGATTAGACATATGCAAATACACGTATGCATACATAACTGAAACTTGCAGGCACATGGTGAAAGAAGGTCGCTAGTGGCAAGTTATCATTAGTGTGATAGTGATTCATTCTATGTGGAGTGCTATTGTGATTATGGCGGGAGTAGTTCTTGGTATGAGTAGCTATCATAAAATTAATTTCCATCTTGACCGATTGGTGTGAGGCCCCTTTTGCTTCCATTCTTAGTGAGGTTCATCACTGCAGTGGTTTGTAAGATTTGAAACACGAAGAAAAAAGAAAAGAAAAGAAAAGAAAAAGCCCTTGACTACTTTTGTCTGAGAAAAATTGTAACCAACTTTATTTGCAGCGCTTCCTCTTGAGCGATTTCTCTACTGATGTTTGCCATTTTGTTCTGATTTACATCACTGTTGGTTCTAGGCAGTGACCCAACCGGAGTTTTAACTTCTCGGTTAGAATACCAATTTGGTCCCTTAATTTTCAGATTTGTATTAAAATTGTCTCTTAACTTTAAAAAAATGTTAAAATTATCTCTAAACTTTAATTTTTAATACCAAAAAGTCCTTTCATTAATAGAAGTGTTACTTAACTTGTTGTTTTGTCATAAAATTAGTTCTTTTTAAAAATACTAATAATTTGGAAAATTAAACAATTATATTTTGTTATCATAATATATTTTTATTTATATATTAAATTGATATATGATCAACATAGAAAGACTAAATTAGTATTTATCTTCAAAGTTTAAGAATAAGTTGATATTTATTTTCAAAGTTTAAATACTAAGTTAGTACTATTTTCAAAGTTTGAGGATTATTTTAGAACCAAAAATTAAAGTTCAAGGACAATTTTGGTGCTTTTTGAAGTTGAGGAATAATTTTGGTATAAATTTAAAAGTGAAGTGACACAAATTGGCATGTTAACCTAACTTCTAAGTTCTAAGGTTTTAACCAAAGTGCTTATGTTGTGGGTAAAGAACTAAAACCAAGTATGGCCCTTTGAGCTAGAGTGGGAAAAAATAGATGGACCCTATTCTCATTTTATCCATTTGAATGTATACAGGGACCCTACTGTTTGCAGTATATGTTCTTAGATACTTTTAAGGTTTCATTTTAACTAGATGCTACGGTATATTCACAGCACAAAAATCCCTTCTCCCCTTTTATTATTATTATTATTAAAGTTTGTTTAACCTATGCCTTTAGAACTTATTAATTAAGATATTTTTATTTAATTTTACATAAATTTTTATATCAGATTCATAATTTTATATAAATTTAAAGTATAAATATTTTATATTATATTTTATTTTATTTGAATCTTACATAAAATTTTATACAAAATTAATTATAAATATTATAATTAATTATACTTGTGCTTAAAGAGCACAGATTAAAAAATCTTTTATTATTATTATTATTATTATTATTATTATTATTTTACCCTCTTCTCTTTTCACACTGCCATTCTTTTCATCTGGACGGTTCATATTATTACAATTTTTTCTTTTTCATTGTTGGATTATGTATGAAAGATAAAATACTCTTGTACTGTCTTATCTGATTTATATTTGTTGTTAAGTGCAGCCGTGCTTAGCGATATTAATTCAAACAAGGATAGGGTGTTGGAAAAGGATGAAAATAGTGAAAACTGAATTGAATGGAGAAGAGAAATTGACAATTGGGCGTAGAGATGGGGTTACCAAAATAGATGATGGCACCAGAAAGGGTCATTAAGTGAGTGACGAGGGAAGAGTGAAAAGGAAGGATTGAAAATAGGAGAGGAAGAAGAAGAAGAAGAAGGTGGAATTAAATTTGTATTTATCATCTGACGTAATACCCCTCATTATTCTCAACCGTCTCAATTACTCTTGCATTTATGTGTTTTAATGGTTTTTCAATCTAATATGGTTTTCCTTTTTTTCAATGCTCAAACTACCCAACCTCTCTTCTTCCCCACACTCCCCCCCCCCCCCCCCCCCCCCCAACTTTACCTTATTACCCTTCTCTATTTCCATAAATATGTCTTTTTTGAGTTCGTAAGTTTCCATTGTTTGCCATTTTAAATGTTCTTGAACATTTTATTTATTTTTGTTTGTTTATTTATTTATCTGTTTTTGATTGATTAATCAAAGCATATCTACCATGCCGGTAAGTTCATTAACAAACTTAAATTGCTCTCTAAATGCAGGGATATTATGGTTTTTAATGGTGTGGCTGACTTTGCAGGCATTTAAACAGAAAATCTACCCCACTGGATTTTTTTGCCTCCTTGAGTGATTAGCAGTGCTGAACAGCAGCACTTCACAGCCGTCTGATTATCTGTAATATCATGATTTTTTTTTTTTAGTAAGGCAGGTGGGCCAAAAGTTACATAGAATGCCATCACCAGTTCCTTCACCAACTGCTTCCAAGTACAAGGATTCTGCAAATTTTGTCAAAGGTTTAAACCCATCTTTTTGGGGATGAGGTAATCTCAGTCACTACTATTCCTTAATCTTTATCATATCATGCATAACTCAGTTCAGTTCACGTCACTGTTTATCAGCTTATGTGGCATGTTGTTGATTGGATTTGAAATATAGCAAATTAAAAAAAAAAAAAA